AGATACAGAACATTTTTATTACTCCAGAAAATTCCCTAGTGCCCCTTTCCTGTCGGTGACTTGTCCCCTCAGTGACATCGATTACCTACTACCAGACTTCCCTGCAGATTCTCTCTCAGCTAGGATCTGAGAGCGTTCCTGTATTGCTCAATCATCTGTATAAACATCATGTCACATATATGCAAGGAAAAAAAAAGCAAATGAAACAAAATGGTAACAGAGATTAGCTGGTAGAATTCTGGGCGGTTATATTTTTTTCTTTATACTCTTCCACATTTTCTCAATTTTCTTCAATGACATGAATTCATGTTGACACTGTAAAACTAAAACTAAATATAATTTTGTTTCTACCATATGATCACAACCATGAAAAATAATTCACAGCAGGATGACAAGAAAGAAGGAAATATACCAATATATCTTAGTCGTGGTTCTTTCTGGTAAATAGGATCATGGGTATTTTTATTTCTTCTAATTTCCCCCCCCAAATTTAAAAACACGTATTTATTATTTCTGAGATACACAAAACACCCTATTTCAGAAGATGAGGCCAGAAATAGTTCTTTGAGAATTTCATAATATACTGCTTATGTCAGAAAGCTGCTGAAATCATGTTTGAGGAAATAAATGAGTCGAGAATTCAAGTCTATTAATTGCAAGTTGCCTTTTCATTTTCTCCTTAGAAGTTATATCTTATTTCATAATCCATGACTGATTCTGGCTCGCTGTCGTATTTTTGGTGCGATAAGTATTTATTTGGTTTGGTTTTGTTTTTTTTTTTGAAATAACCTCAAACTTATAGAAGAGTTGTGAATACAGTACAGAGAACTCTTTTTTCCTGAGAATCATTTGAGAGTAAATTGCCAACCTCACCCCCCAATAATTTCATGCATATATCCTGCAAATAAAAACAGTCTAGATAACCACATACAACCATCAAAATCAGGAACTGTTACCACGACACATTTTAACCAAGCTCACAAAAAATCAAAGACAAAGAACTTCGAAAGCAGTGAGAGGAAAAAGACTCATCACACACAAGGGAATCCTGATAAGGCTGTGAGCAGATTCTTCAGCAGAAATCTTGCAGGCCAGGAGAGAGTAGGCTGATACGTTCAATGTGCTCAAAGAAAAATATCAAATGAGAATACTTTATCCAGGAAAATTGTTCTTCAGAAATGAAGGACAAATAAAGACTTTCCCAGACAAATAAAAGGAGAATTTATCGCCACTGGACCTGCCTGAAAGCATGTTAACTAGTAACAAGAAAATATATGAAAGTGTGAAATTCAGCGCTAAATGTAAATACTGGGTTGGCCAAAATGTTCGTTCGCGTTTTCTGTAACATCTTATGGAAAAACCCAAACAAACTTTTTTGGCCAACCCAATATATAGTCAAATTCAAAATACTCTATTACTGCAATGGTGGTGTGTAGATCACTTTGAACTCTAGTATATAGGTTAAAAGACAAAAGTATTAAAAGTAACTATAGCTACAATATTTTGTTAATGGATACACAAGATTAAAATACATAAATTGGGACACCAATAACATAACTCGTTGGGGGGAGGCAAGTAAATATGTAGAATTTTTAAATGCAATTGAAGTTACATTACTGTCAGCTTAAAATGGACTGTTATAACTATAAAATGTATTATGAAAGCCTCATGGTACTGTTAGTACCACCAAGGAAAAAAATGATAAAGAGAGAAGAATCAAAGGATACCACGACCAAAAACCATCAACTCATAAAGAAAGACAGTGAGGGACTTCCCTGGTGGTGCAGTGGTTGAGAATCCACCTGCCAATGCAGGGAACACGGGTTCAAGCCCTGGTCCAGGAAGATCCCACATGCCACGGAGCATCTAAGCCCGTGTGCCACAACTACTGAGCTTGTGCTCTGGAGCCTGTGAGCCACAACTACTGAGCCCACATGCCACAACTACTGAAGCCCGTGCATCTAGAGCCTGTGCTCTACAACAAGAGAAGCCACCGCAATGAGAAGCCTGTGCACTGCAACAAAGAGTAGCCCCTGCTCATCACTAGAGAAAGCCCACACGCAGCAACAAAAACCCAGTGCAGCCAAAAATAAATAATTTTAAAAAAATAAAAAGAAAGACCGTGAGAGGAAGAAAGGAACTATAAAACAATCAGAAAGCAGGTAACAAAATGGCAATAAGTTCTTACCTATCAATAATTACTCTAGATGTAAATAGTTTAAATATTCCAATTAAAAGACAAAGAGTAGCTCAGTTCATAAATAAGACTCAACTATATGCTGCCTACAAAAGACTCACGCTTTAAGGACACTCATAGGCCAAAAGTGGAGGGATGAAAAAACATTCCATGTGGATGGAAAAATACTCTGTGCAAATGGAAACCAAAGGAGAGCAGGTGTAGCATATCACACAAAACAGACTTAAAGTCAAAAGCTGTAACAAGAGAAAAAGAAGGTCATTATATAATAAAGGGATCAATTCCTTCAGAGGATATAAAAATTGTAAATATGTATGCTCCCAATATTGGAGTACTTAAACAGATCTGAAGATAAAAATAGGCAGCAATGCAATAATAGTAGGGGACTTCAATGCCCTGCTCTCAACAGTGGATAAACTATCCAGACAGAAATACATTATGAACTAATGAATTTGAACTACACTTTAGACCAAGTTGCCTTACAGACGTATATAGAACATTCCAACCAATAGCAACAGAACACACATTCTTCTCAAATGCACATGGAACATTCTCCAGGACGCATCATATGTTAGGTCAGAAAACAAATTTAATAAGATTAAAATCTTATTAAGTATCTTTTCTGACTACATAGTATAAAATTAGAAGTCAATAATGGGAGGAAAGCTGGAAAATTCACCTATATATGGATTAAACAACACATTCTGAAAAAACAATGGATCAAGGGTAAATGTTTTAAAATTTTTGAGGTGAATGAAAATAGAAACACAAATACAGAAATTGATGGGATTCAGCAAAAGCATTTCTAAGAGAGTAGTTTACAGTGATAAACACCTACATTAAGAAAAAAGAAAGAACTCAAACAACCTAACTTTACGTCTCAAGGAAATAGAAAACGAAGAACAAACTTAGTTGATGGGGAGAAATAATAAAGATTAGAGCAGAAATAGAGACTAGAAAGACAGTAGAAAAGATCAATGAAACTAAGTTGGCTTTTTGAAAAGATAAAATTGACAAATCTTCAGCTAGACTTACCAAGAAAAAAGGGAAATGACTCAAAATTAATAAAATTATAAATGAGGGAGGAGACATTGTAACTGATACCACAGAAATACAAAGAACCATAAGAGACTATGAACAATTTATGCCAACAGATTAGATAATTTAGGAGAAATGGATAAATTCCTAGAAACACACAACTTACCATGACTGAATCATGAAGTAAAAGAAAAACTGAGCAGACCAATAACAGTCAAGGGGATTAGGAGATCGAATAAGTCATCAAAAACCTCCAAACATATAAAATCCAGATGGCTTCACAGATGAATTCTACCAAACATTTAAAGAAGAATTAATAACAATCCTTCTCAAACTCTTTCAAAAACTTGAAGAGGAAGGAACACTTTCCAACCCATTTTATGAGGCCAACATTACCCTGATACCAAGCCAAACAAAGACACTACAAGAAAAGAAAATTACAGGCTGCTATCCATGATGAACATAGATGCAAAAATCTGCATTAAATTCAAGAGCACATTAAAAGGATCATACACTATGATCTAGTGGGATTCGTCCCTGGGTTGCAAAGATGGCTCAACATATGTAAATCAATAAATGTGATATACTACATTAACAAAATGAAAGATAAATATATGATCATCTCAATAGATGCAGAAAAAGCACTTGACATAGTTCAACATCCATTTGTGATAAAATCTCTCAACAGATTAGGTGTAGAAGGAATGTTTCTCAACATAACAAAGATGATACAGAGAACCCCACAGCTAACATCATAATCAATAGTGAAAAGTTAAAAGCCTCTTCTGTGAGATCAGGAACAAGACAAGGATGCCTATAATTACCACTGTGTGCTATTTAACATAGTAAACTGTAAGCTGAAGCCAGAGTAATTAGGCAAGAATAATAAATAAAAGGCATCCAAATTAGAAAGAAAATTAAAATTGTCTTTTTGCAGGTGACATGATCTTATATGTAGAAAACCCTGAAGACTCCACTGAAAATTGTTAGAACTAGTAAATTCAGTTAAGTTACAGAATACAAAATTACCATACAGAAATCAGTTGCATTTCTATATACCAACAACAAAGTATCTGAAAGAGAAATTGAGAAAGAAATCTCATTTACAGTACCATCAAAAGCAATAAAATACTTAGGAATAAATTTAACAAAGGAGGTGAAAGACATGTACACTGAAAACTGTAAGACATTGATGAAAGAGATTCAGGAAGACATGAATAATGGATACCCTGTGTTCTTGAATTGGAAGGACTGGTATTGTTAAAATGTCTATACTACCCAAAGCAATCTACAGATTCAGTGTAGTCCATATCAAAATTCCAATGGCATTTTACACAGAAATAGAAAAAACTACCCCAAAATTTGTATGGAACCACAAAAGACTTTAAATAAAAAAAAGCATTCCTGAGATGAAAAACAAAGCTAGAGGCATCACACCACCTGATTTCAACCTATATTACAAAGCTGTAGTAATCCAAACAGTGTGGTACTGACATAAAAACAGGCACATAGATCATTGGAACAGAATAAAGAGCAGGGCATAAACCTATGCATATATAGTCTGCTGATTTTTGACACCAGGAACACACAGTGGGAAAAGGATAGTCTTCAATCAGTGGTTCTGGGAAAACTGGATGGCCACATGCAAAAGAATGAAACTGGACCCCTGTCTTACACCATTCACAAAAATGATCTTGACATGTATCAAGGACAAATAGAGCTGTTCAAAACAAAGGGACTTACCTGAAACTGTAAAACTCTTAGAAGAAAACACAGGGAAAAATTCTTGACATTGGTCTTGGCAGTGATTTCTTGGGTAAGACACCAAGCATACAGGAAATGAAAGCTGAAATAAACAAATAGGTCTGCATCAAACTAAAGAGCCTCCACACGGCAAAGGAAACAATCAATAAATTGATACTTTACAGAAGAGGGAAAGTATTTGCAAGCTGTATATCTGATTAGGGGTTAATATCCGAAGTATAAAGAACTCAGAAAACTAATAGCCAAAAAGCAAATACTCCCATTAGAAAATGGGTAGAGGAACTGAATACACATATTTCCAAAGAAGACATGCAGATGGCCAACAGATATGTGAAAAGTTGCTCAACATCATTAATCATCAGGGAAATGCAGATCAAAACCAAGAGACACCACCTCACACCTGTTAGAATTGGCTGTCATCAAAAAGACGAGAGACAAGTGTTGGCGAGGATACGGAGAAAAGAGAACTCTGGTGCACTGTTGGTGAGAATATCAGTTGGTGCAGACACTATGGAAAAGACTGTGGTGGGTCTTCAAAAAGTTAAAAATAGGACTGTCACGTGATTCAGCAGTCCCACTCCTGGGTATATACCCAGAGGAATTGAAATCAGTATATTGAAGAGATACATGTACACCCATTCTCATCGCAGCATTATGCACAATAACCAAGAGATGGAAACAACCTAAATGTTCTTCCAGAGATGAAAAGGATAACGAAGTGTGGCTTATATATACAGTGGAATATTATTCAGCCGTGAGAGAAGGAAACCCTGCCATTTGCTACAACATGAATGAACCTGGAGGGCATTATGCTAAGTGAAATAAGTCAGAGAAATACAAATACTGTATGGTTTCACTTGGAGCGGAATCTAAAAAGAAAAAAAAAAAAAAAAGCCTGTTTCATAGAAACAGAGATTTGAATGGCAGTTGCCTTGGGCTGGGGGAAGGGGAAATAGGGCAGTATAGATCAAAGGGTACAAATTTTCAATTATAAGAAGTTCCGAGGATCTAATGTACAACACGGTTGTTATAGTTAATAATATGGAATTGTATACTTGAAAGTTGCTGAGTAGGTCTTAAGCATTCTTATCACACACACACAGTGAACTGTCAGGTGATGGATGTGTTAAGTGTCTTGACCTTGATGATCATTCCACGATGCATATGGACGTCAAAACAGCACATTGTACACTTTAAAGATATAGTTATATCTGTCCATTACCCCTCAATTTTATTTTTAAATAACTTTTTCATAAAATTCATTAGGATTTTGATAAAAGTGGAAATAAATGTGTGTGTTCAATCAGCCATCTTGAATCCAAAGCATGGACATAGCATTTTTGAGCAAATTAAAAAAATTTTTTTTAATATATATATTTTTTTATCAAAGTATAGTTGATTTACAATGTTGTGTTAGTTTCAGTTGTACAGCCAAGTGATTCAGTTATACATACATTCTCAATTTTTAAAAATGAAAAAAATACGAGGAAATTAACAGGATTTAGGATGACTGCCTTTTTTTTTTTTTTTTAAACCTCATCCTTGTCGTGACAGGGAAAGTCTTGCATGAGGAGCACGTTGAACTCTTGATGGAGGAGTTTGCATTCCTGAAAAAAGAAGTGGTGGGGAAGGACCTGCTGAAAGGGTCGCTTCTCTTCACAGGTCAGCCCTTGGTGGGATCACAGGTCATATGTAACTGGTGAGGCTGGTGGAGGGTTACTGGGTTCTGAGCTCTCTAGGATGTGAGCTTGGATTCATTTCTGCTAAAGACGTTCTGACTGAGGGCCCATTTAATTTTCCCACGCACCCACAGACAATAAAAATAATCTATTTTTCTTCTTTCCTCAAATGAGATCTGATTGCTCAGTGGGCCTTGGGGAAGACGTGTTAGAAATCTCAAGCACATTTATGCTTTTGGCGCAATCGATTAGGTAGAATTTTCTCTCATGAAATCTTGATGAGTTGGAGATTATTTTTCCACAGGAGGTTAAAAATGAAAGCTCTCTTTGCTAAAGGACCGAGAAGGTTCTTGGAGAAGAGAACATGTTTATACTTCTCTGTGGAGCAAATAGAATATGCATAGACCCTTTCTTCCTCCAACATGTTATTAGGACATTGGCTGTGGCCAAGATATTTGATCTACTATATATTCAGCTATTTACTTTATGTTGGTCATTCTTTGAGCACCTCCATTAGCAGAAGGAAATGAACAGCCTGGAGCCTCAAGGTCTGCAGTCTCCTTTGGGTGGACTCCTTGGATTTGTCTCCACCCTAAGGCATCTGGGCCACCTTTCCTGAGGGCTTTCTTTACAGAAACAAAACCGACATTGTCAAGTGGTAAAACCATTCATCTGTTCGTGAGTTTCCAGAAAATATACAGTAGTGGAATCTCATTTCAAAATCCATTTTCAGGGACTTCCCTGGCGGTACAATGGTTAGGACTCCGAGTTTCCACTGTGGTGGGGGCATGGGCTCAACCCCTGCTTGGGGAACTAAGATCCTGCATGCCGTGCGGTGAACCAAAAAAAAAAAAAAAAAAAATAGAATGGCACAAAATCCATCTTCATCCTTTAAAATCATGATATAATGAGAGTTGTGGAGACAATAATAACCGTTAATCTGCACAAGGAACTGGGCTAAGTATGTGACATTATTTCATGTTAATTCATATGATAATCCTAGAAAGTGGGTATTTATTACCCCCATTATACAGATTTTTTTTTAATGAAGCTCAGAGAAGTGAGTAGCTTCACAAAGTTGACCCAACAGTTATGTGGCGGAGGCAGACAGATTGGAGCTCAGACTTGTAGCAGCTGTTCGGTCCTCTGCGAAGAACAGGAGCAGACAGGAACCAGCCCAGAGGGAGCTGCCTTTCCTTTGTAAGTTTCATACTTAGGTCCTAGTGATTTGAAACCATGTTGTCTATGAAACTTACAATCTTTGTTTTATCTTTTTATTTACTTTGCTTGTTTTCTTTAGAACATACTCATAATTATTAGTTGTTTTAAGTCAATATCAAAGTCTTAAGAAATCTTTGAAGAGCAGTGTAACAGATATGAAGTCTTATAAATCTAGGTTATGTTTAAAATTTAGGCTGGGATGAGAGGGGAGCAGTATCTTGACCAGATTTCTGGTACAGATACTCGTTGCAATATACTGTAGTACACGAGATTATGAAGACTGAGGAACACGTAACGCTGTATCAGTTTTCTTGATATTGACTACTTTATAGGAATTACTGTTTTCTCCACAGCTATCACAATTCCTTCACTCCCTTATCACTTACACAGACAGTTATATGGTATTTATAGGAATATAGGCTTGAGGGACTAAAATACGTTAATTCTTTTACTTCTTTAAGTCACTGACTGAAGGGGATATATGTTTACATATGTGTGTGTGTGTGCATATACACACACACACACACACACGTTAGAAGCCTAAAACATTTTTATTACCCTGTGGGCCAGATGGACTGCAATTTCCAGTGAAATATTTTATTTTACCAACAAAGTGAATTTAAGAAACAGGAAAAAAGGGAGACGTTTTTATGAAAGTCTCCATCAGAATTAGTCATCTTGCACAGCCCCGTCACAAGGTAGGTTGTGTGTCCTGATCACCCAGCCACATCTGTTCGCTCCCTGTCACATCCCCCATGCCCCCCAGCTGTCAGCCCCGCCCCTCCAGTCCCCGCCATGTCTGTGATTCCCCACAGCTAGCCCGCTGGAAGAAGAACGGTTTGGCTTCCCTGCATTCAGCGGCATCTCTCGCCTGACCTGGCTGGTCTCCCTCTTTGGGGAGCTTTCTCTCGTGTCCGCCACTTTGGAAGAGAGAAAAGAAGATCAGTATATGAAGATGACCGTGTGCTTGGAGACGGAGAACAAAAGGTAGGTCATGAGAAGCTGCAAGGAGAAGGCAACATAAGGACATCCTCGTGTGTTCACAAGGGAGAACATGGGAGACCCAGGGGCCTAGACCCACACCTTCGACTCCAGAAGGGCCGTCTGCTTATGCCAGTGGAACAGGTGCTGGGATTTCACTTATGCTGCCTCATGCCATCCTCCCAGCAGCCCCGTAAGGTTAAGAGAAGCTTACAGATTTGAGCAGGTTGTCTAAGCCACACAAGTGAGCAGTATCCAGTTCTATGACCTGAATTGTTTCCAACATTTTATGGTGAAAGATGCAGGCATTGGTGAGTTGAAAGAATTTTGCAGTGAGCATCCATCCAGCTACCTAGATCCTGCCGTTAACATTGTAGTCTGCTGGCTTATCACACGCCCAACTATTTCTCAGCTTTATCACCACATCATACGTCATAATGTTGCCAAAATGTTGATTCTTTCTTTTTCATACCAAGTCTTTTTTTTAATTATTTAAAAATGTTCAAGAGACTTTAAAATGGCCCAGAGACCCAAAGATGTTCGTGTCAAATATAAGATCACACTGAGGTGGGGTCTGTTGGTTCCTCCATTGCTAAAGCCTCCGTGTGATCCTGGATCATGACACACCCTGATAATTCTTCTAGGTGGGTAATGGTGATACCCTGATTCCCAGCATCTTCTGTAAGTGGCCATCAGTCCCCTAATGACGAAAAATGCAATCCCAGAAATAATACGCTTGCAGATTCTACTTGAACATCTTTCCAGTATTATTTTTCGAAACCAAGTCCTCTACTGATCCATCTGGGAGGCTGAGATAATGATGAGTCCCATCTGACAGTAAATGTAGATCTTTCACCAGCAAACACCCTTGAAGATAAAATGCCTCATACCAAGTCTTTTTAAACATAAGGAGCCTCTGTAAGTCATTTGCCCACACAGTTTCTTAAGTTAGAGCTGCCTTCCAACAACCTAGTGGAACAGAGCAGAACCTCAGCAGAGGATGGGGAGGAGGGCAGACATGACCTTGAAAGGTCACAATAAAAGGACCAGCAAGACCAGGATCACTGCTTGAATCCCGGTTGTACTAGTATTTGCTAACGTTTCCTGAGTTCCTACCATGTGCCAGGGCCTAGTCCTTTTATAAGGATTTTCTCATATAATCTTTATACCAACTCTCCGGAGTGGGCGTTATTATGATTATTATTATGATCACCTAGGAAACTATGAGGCTCAGAGAGGTTAAGAAACTTGCTAAGGGCACACAGCTAACAAGTGATTGTGTGAGAATCGCGCTCAGGCAGCCTGTCTCTGGTCCCCAGATGGTCACACCTCCACAGAAATGCACAGGAAGGGCACGAGAAGGGAATCGTACTGAAAACATGCCAGGCCTTGTCTTTAATTCGTCCTGTAGTCCTCACCTGTCCACGAGGTTGGGTATCATTAGCCTCAGGTCCCAGATTATCCAGGAAAACCCAGTGCAGTTTACTCCCAAGCCCGTGTTCTTCCCATTTTACCAGCAGTTTTCAAACTTTGTAAAAAAAAATAAAAAAAAAAAAGCATTAGAACACCTTTTCAACCCAAATCTATATAGAAGAGGTACACGTTTCAGGCCTCCTGTTGAAGCCAGTTGGTAGGAGTGGTGCCAGAGCCAGGCGTGCCCTACCCCCCATGCCCTCGCCCTCCAGGGCAAATACTTTAAGTTTTTAGGACCACAAGATGAGGAAGTTATTCTCTCCTGATGGCTCCCCTTTTATGTACTTCAGATCTTTTCCTCTTAAACACTCACCCCACACTCTAATGTAGGTCTGGGTGAGCTGATTGGCTGAAGGGGAGGCCTTTACCCAGGTTGGAGGTACCCCTGAGCTTCCTACAGCACCCAAAACAATCTTAAGTGACCTGCTTGGGCCCCTTTCTTGCAACTGCGCACTCACACCGTTAGCCGTATTATGGCCCGTGCCTCTAGAGGCGGAGAACAAACAAACTAAAGGTAGTTCCCCTTCGTTCCTTAGCCACGCTGATCTAGCCTGCCCACGCCGGGCCTGCCCCACTGCAGCCCACAGGGAGAGGAAGAGGGAATCCGAGGAATGGAGACGAGAAGGCCAGGGACCCTGATGCCTGCCCGGCATTGAACCCTTTCCCTATTCGCCCTGAAAACTCCATTACTTAGCATGGCAGCCCAACCAGATTGCCTGTCCTTGACGCTGACTCTCCCTGCAGTATAAGAAGAAGGAGGGGAAAGCAAAGAGAAGTAGCCAGAGCAAGTCCTCTCATTCCTGAGACTTCGTTCCCAGAAGAAAGAAAACTCTATATGTGTATATGTGTAAAGAGGTTGAATGGAGGTTATCCATATTAAAGTTGGGAAGAGCTTGAATATTTGGCAATAATGAAATATTGAATGAATTATATAATCAGTTGTCCCCATGATATGCAGCTAAAAATAATAATAGCAGTATCTGTAGGATCATAAATATTTTAAAATAAACATAATTAAAAGTTAGTTATACTTTAGGATTTATATTCCATATACATATAGGCAAATATTTGAAAGGACTGTCTCAAACTGAAGATTATTTAGGCAAAAGAATTATTGATTTTTTCCATTGAAAGTCTTTAAATCAGTGCTGTATTGTTTTTAGAATATATTTTTGAAGAGCAGATTTTATATTTTTCCTGTCACATTATTCAGTGAAGCTTCTAACTTTAGATCGAATCTGCTTAGGTTTCTCTTTTTCATTAAGCAGATAACACAGCTTTTATCTAAAGACAGAAAAGATAAATCCAGAAAAAGAAGAAACTTTAGAAGAGCGGGGTCTGTCCTATTTGAATTGTAGATTTTTGTGAGTACTGACCTTGGCCTGAGGGGCAAATGTGAAATGGAAACGTGCTTTGTGAGTGGGCAGGCAGCATCTGGTCTTGGCATGTGCCTGGAGTCATAGACCTCTTGGAAAATGTGATGAAAGAACGCTAAGAATTCTTTCCCTTAAAAATGCACATACACTTGGAAACAACAGTTTGTACAGGATCTCAGGTCTGGATCCTCCAGAAGGATCCGGTGAGATTCAGGGTAAAAACTCCTAAATAACAAACTGATACACCAGAATCTTTGAACTCCCCTGCCTGGTGGCAAAATTGAACAAAGGACCTTTGGGCAGTAAAGTTGCCAACAGTCACCCGTGGCGTCTGGGAGGCTGGTGGAGGTTGGGATGCAGCAGCTGCAGGGAAAACGGGCACAAAACGAGGACCTGGCACTGGGCACTCAGGTGCCAGCCCGCATCCGCGCGCCCCTATGAAACTAATCCTGGGCCTCTTGCTTCCACAGCCCGTTGACGTGGACTGAAGAGAAGGCGCCTGGCCTAAAGCGAAACAGACATTTAAGCTTCCATTTCAAGTCTGGGTCCCTGGAGAATATGCCCAACGTAGGCGTCAATAAGAATATTTTCCTGAAGGATCAAAATATATTTGTCCAGAAACTCCTGGGCCAGTTCTCTGGAGAGGAGCTGGCTGCTGAGAAGAAACGTATCCTGCACTGCCTATGGCTGGCGGGAGAGATCCAGAAACACTGCCGCCCGAAGAAGTGAAGGGAGGGGGCAACACGGCCCTGCCCAGACGAGACCTGAGCCTGATTTTTATCAAGAGTTGACCTTCATGTCTGTTCTTACCATTAAACGTGTCTTGGGTAAACAGGATTCGCTTATTGTCACGAGCCGTGTTGGGAGTGATACTTGGGTAGGGGCACACGTGGTAGGGATGAAAAAAGAACCAACCTTGGTGGAGTGGCACGGGATGCTTTAGATGTCCAGTTTCATTCATTCTTCCCAACGGCCCTGCCGGATGAGTATTATTACCAGGCTTGTTTTCCTTAGTGTATTGAAAAAATCTTGTTTGAAGTTACCCAGCTAGTAAATGGCAGAACCAGCCTTTAAACCCCACTCATGCGCTAAATCACTGCAAAACAGTGCCTGGAAGCCTCCTTCCTGCCGCCTTAAAGAATTTTATTTCCCCCTCCACAGACTCTCACTGGACGACCGTGCCCGGTGCTGGGGATCCTAAAAACATAGCCGCTGCCCTCAGTAACTCACAGTGTCAGAAGGGAAGCAAGTCACACAAACTGGTCATTGTAACGTTGGAGGTTCAGGCTGTCCCTGGCCATCCGGAGAAGGGTTCAGGGAAGATGTGCAAACCAGGTCCTGATGATGAAGAGATAGCTGTGTGAAGGTCAAAGAAGGGCTTCCCTGGCAGAGGGGCAGTATGAACAGAGAGAAGTAAGAAGCAGCCTGGCCAGTGCCCTGGGACAGTGTCGCTGAAGCACTGGGTCTGGAGTGGGGAGTCCCAGAGAGGCAGATCTGACGGTGGGGGCCCTTGAAGGCCAGGTGAAGAGCTGGGATGTTGTTTATCAGGCTGTGCAGAGGCACCAAAGGGTGTTGTTTAACGTGCCGGGGGCGTGGGCTGCGTGGTCATGTTTCTGATTTAGGTAGAGCACTCAGAAGGCTACCTGGAGAGGAGACCAGAGACCCAGGAGACAGCCAGGGAAGCCACGTGTGTTTGCACTTGGGGTCTTGTGCTTGTCTGGACTCGTGGTTCATGTCTGGTCCAATCTGCTTGAGTCCCAGGAAGCTGCCCTTTCGTTTCACTGGTGGTCCTGTTGCATCTTCTTCTGAGCTTGGGTTAGATTTCTTGCTTCTGTAAATGTCTCCCTCTTGGTTTTTTCCCTGCTCCTCACTTGCTATTATGAGGCCTAACTAGTTTGGAAACCATGAGATGGAAGCAAACTCCGTTCTCTACCTCTGTTTCTATTATTCCATCACCAGAGTATCTCCTAGTAAAGCAGGCAAGTATATTAAACCTGAAAAAAAATCCATAAGGTTATTCTTTCATTCGCCATGTAAAATAATTTGTAATAAATATTGGTCCATTCATTCTCTTGTTTTATTATCACATCAAGTGTCCCTCAAGGCCAGGAAATATTGTATGCTCTATGTTTTTGTATGTTCTACAGTATCCAGCATGAGATAAATGTTACATATTCAATGATTAAAATAGAGTGCAATAGTCTCTCCCATTTGGGCTTGATAACTGCTGTTTCAAAATATTGGCCCTATTTGATATTAGAAGTAGGGTGGGGCTTCCCTGGTGGTGTCTTGGTTAAGAAGTTCGATACCTGGCCTGGGAAGATCCCACGTGCCGCGGAGCAACTAAGCCTGTGCACCACAACTACTGAGCCTGCACTCTAGAGCCCATGAGCCACAACTACTGAGCCCATGAGCCACAACTACTGAAGCCTGCGCATCTAGAGCCCGTGCTCCGCAACAAGAGAAGCCACCACAATGAGAAGCCCACACACCACAACAAAGAGTAGCCCCCACTTGCCGCAACTAGAGAAAGCCCGCATGCAGCAACATAGCCAAAAATAAATAAAATAAATTTATTTTTTAAAAATGTAGGGTGGATGTCAAAGAAAACCAGAACTGGACAGTCAAGTGGTATAAGCAGATTTTATTCAGGACAATTGCAAAAGGGGAAGAGAGACCTTGGTATAGGACTGGGCTCAGTTCTGCACACAGCATGGCCCGTGGCAATTCATAGCCGAGGAGCGGGCTTAGGGGTCGGTGGATGGAAAATTACTGACGGGAAAACATCAGGGGTGAGGGGGATTCTGGCTACACCGACTTGACGAGATTCTTGCTGAAGGCAGCTGGCACGATTAGACACCAAGGTGTGAGAGATGAGGAACTTGATCAGATACTGAGGGACTTAGAAGTTTTGCTAAAACTGGGTGATGCAAAGACAGACGGGGAAGCCCAAAGGTCGAGGCCTAGCTGAGCACAGGGCTCAGAGAAGCCAGACTAAATGTGGTCCGGGAGAGAGTCTTCGTCACGGGCTGTGGGATTACTAATTGACACTGTTAACTGCTCACCTCAAGCCTGTTTTCTGTTTGGTCAAGAGATCCAAAATGAAAACATTAAGTTTACTAATTCGTAGGAATTGCAAAGGGAGAAGGAAGAGGAGACGGGAGAAAACAGCTGGGAGAGAAGAGGGAGCAGAAGCCTCTTCCTCTTCTGCTTACAGCTGCCCTCACCTTCCTCTGGGGCAGCTGGAAGCATCCTGGCTGACCCCCCACTGACGCGTTTCCCAAATACTCCTTCCTCTGAAGGCCATGCCCCACCCCTAATCACAACTTTTCAAAGAAGGAGCCACGAGTAGAATCGGAAAATACAACAAACTAGTGAATATAACAAAAGAAGCAGACTCACAGGTATAGAGAACAAACTAGGGAATTCCCTGGCAGTCCAGTGGTTAGGACTCCACACTTTCACTGTGTAGGGCCCAGGTTCAATCCCTGCTCGGGGAACCAAGATCCCAGCAAGACTCAAGTCCCGGCCAAAAAAAAAAAAAAAAAGTGGTGGGATTTCCCTGGAGGTGCAGTGGATAGGACTCCGCGCTCCCAATGCAGGGGGCCCGGGTTCGATCCCTGGTCAGGGAACTAGATTCCACGTGCATGCTGCAACTAAGAGTTCGCGTGCCGCAACTAAGGAGCCGGCAAGCCGCAATAAGGAGCCCACCTGCTACAACTAAGGAGCTGGCAAGCCACAACTAACTAAATAAATAAGAATTTAAAAAAAACTAAATAAAGAATTAAAAAAAAACTAGTGGTAACCAGTGGTAAGGGGAGGGGCTGGAAGTATGGGGGAGGGGGAGGTACAAACTATTGGGTGTAAGTAGGCTCAAGGGGTATTGTACAAATGGAATATAGCCAATATTTTTTAATAGGTGTACATGGAAAGTAGCTTTTAAAGTATAAAAATTAAGAATTATTTTTAAAATAAACTAAAAAGATAAAACTACGATATATTCCTACAAAAAAAAAAAAGCCACAGCAATCCCTGAGCCGTTTAGTCAAAGTACCCAAAAGATGGTGACCCTCCTTTGCTCCCTTGCCTTAAGGCTACCTGGACTTCCTTGGAAGGTCTAGTGAGAAGACGTTTTGAGGGCTAAGATTTCCGAACAAAGTAGGCTTTCTGTTCAACAGGAAGGAAAAAGCCCTCTCTCCCACTGTACTAATGCTTGTAAGTGTTGGGGTCCCTCTAGGAGGAAGGTAACTTACATAGTGCCCTTGACCCCTCTCGGCCCCTCACCTACTTCTCCCGTAGTAACCTGCCCTAGAAAGCTGCAGGAGAGATGAGGCAGCGAAGTCCAGCAGAGCCCAGCCGCCCCCCAATGCACCTGAGTTCTCCACTTGCCTACAAGAAGGTGGCTGGGATAGAAACTTCCTTTGCAATGGGGTGGCCTGCAGCTTTGAAGAAGAATTAAGTTACTCTGAGAGGACAGATTAGCAAACCTCTTTGGCTGTAGATCCCAACCACATTCCCCAATCAGCTTTATTGGAATAAAACTGATTCTTTTTTTGAAAAAAGCTCATCTCTCACCTGCATCTATAGCTTAATTGGTCCCCAAAATTGAGGAGAAAAGGGAAATGTTTCTTGCTGAAATCCCAGCAATGCGTGACTGCCTTATGGTCTTCTGCCTGAAGGAATCAAGTGGAAAAAAAATAATAATATTTTAGCCAATGACACTAGATGTCTTCAAGAGAAAGCTATTTGGGGGGAAATTCCTTGATAAGCCCGTGCACTAGTAGTGGTGACGCTGGAGGTTGGGGGTTATAGGGGAGGGGACTCTAATGGAATGCACAGCCTTGGGGACCTAGGTTGATGGGTTAAAGGGGAAAAAATAAACAAACCTCTCTGCAAAAGTCATGAATGGGAATTGAAGCGGGAAAGAAGGGAATAAGGGTTTAGCTCTCTTGGACCTCTTAACACTCAAGGTGTGGTGTGCTGACTGGCAGCCTTGGCTTTGGTACAGCCTGGGGGCTTCTTAGGCATGCAGATCCTCAGGCCCGCCCCAGACCTGCTAAACCAGAACCCGCATTTTAATAAGGTGGCCTGGTGATTCCTGGGCACGCCCAATTCTCTCAGCTTGTAGACTAGTAAGGAAGAAAACACTATTCAACTAATAAATGTTAAAGCACAACTATGAAGGATGCCACAAAGAGGATTTAAAAGCTTGTGTAGGGAGAAGATTTTCTAGGCAAGAAATCAGGGAAGGCTTCCCAAAAGAATGTGCTGAACCCTGGAGGTTGAGAAGGACTTGCTGCAGGTGCAGGCAGGTGAGGGAGGGGAGGGAAGGGCATTCCAGACAGAAGGAACAGCATGTGCAAAGCCTGTGTCCAGCCAGTACTGCCCCTGGATGGAACAGGTTCAGGCACCTGAAATTCCTTTTTTGTTCATTCCAATTGGCTTTAAGCCTAGCTATTTTAAGTTGTGGAGTGAGAAAGAGCTAACATTTAGGAAGTCTTTGGCCGACTTGAAAAGATCATATGAATTACTATTAAGCAAGCAGATGGGGGGTGAGGGGGGTGTCAGGATGGCGGAATAGGAGGACGCGGAATTCATCGCTCCTCACAAGTACACCAAGAATTCCTCTACAAGTGGAACAGTTCCCACAGAGCACCTGCTGAACATTAGCGGAAGACTTTGGACACCTAAAAGATGAAAGAAGAGACAAAGAAAAAAGCAAGCAACATGCTCCAGACCTGGTGCCCAGGGCTCACCTACCCTAGTCTACTTACTCTATCATTCCCATACAAGGCCATACGCATGGAAGCACTTTCCACTCCACTTTTTTAAAAAAAAACAAAAAAAACAAATGATGAAACAGATTCAGAATTTAAGCCACGTGGCCAGGTTCCCTCACTTAAGTCTGGAGTCATCAAAGTACAGCCTGCAGGCCAGGTTTGGGGCTCACGGCCTCCTTGTGTAAAGTTTTATTGGGACACACTCACGTTCAGTGACATAGTACATATGGTTGCTTTCACACTGCAGCAGAGTTGAATCGTGACAGAGTAGCTGTATGGCCCATAAAGTCGGAAGCATTTACCATCTGGCCCTTTACAGCAAAAGTTTGCCAACCCCCATTCTGGATGGGGGAGCACAGCATTGAGCTCAGGCCCCTCTGGCTGCACTTTTCTGTTTAGTGCCCCCAGGTGCCCATTCATGTCAAGGTGAAGGGTATAGCCACTGTCATAAAGTCCAAAATACAGAGTCTGGAAAGCACAGTGAGCAAACAGAACACACTTCCCAAGTTTCATTGTAACTGTTCCTGGTTCCAGTATGTGTCAAAGATTCATCCGTTTGTGTTCTGCTAACATCTGAGAGACCTACGCTGTGTGTGCACTGCTGGTGCTGGGCTCCAGGGAGACTGGAGTGATGAAGACTTGGCCCCTGCCTCTGGATGCTGACGGCTTACTGGGGAATGGCTCACACCAGCTGGAGGGTTTGATGTCCTAGGACAGGCATCGCCTGAAGCCAAGGGACCCCAGGAAGGAGGGAGCACTTCTGCGTGGGAATTCTGGGAGAAAGTGGCATCTGGGTTGAGCCAAATAAGGAAGGAGGAAAATAAGCAACGTCAGGGATTTGACAGCACAGAGGAGCAGGGTAGGAAATAAGGCCGAAAGGCAGGAAGGGGCTGAGCCTGGAAGACTCCAGGGCCAGAGGGGATGGAAGCTCAGGAGATTGCCAGGAGGCTGGCTGCAGCCCCTAGGCACTCTGCTAAAAGGGGTTGACCTCGGTTAAAAAAAAAAAAAAAAAAGTCCATGTCTCTGGGGTTCTGCTTCATCTTAAAAGAAGGGGTAGGACCAGATCATCTTCAGAGTCCTTGCATGAAGGTTTTCAGCAAGAAAGTAACATGAGTCGATCTGCATCTCAGGCTGATGGGCCCTGAGGAGAGAGGGGTTGGGGTCCATGTTTCTCCCCAGGCAGGTGACTGCAGGAGGGGCTATCCCCTTGGAGAGAAAGAAGCCTTCACATAATGACAGCTGCATTCTTGTACAGACACAGGACCAAGACACTGGACCATAAAATGAAGTCTTCCATAAAGAGGAGGAGGCCCCAAGATCACTCTTTCCTGATGAATCTTGATCAACAGAACTGACCTTCCTATAAAGATTACTTGGGGAATTTCTATGGAGAATATAGGGGGTCTCTGAAAGAATGAGCTTGTGCAGCTTCCAGGAGAAGCAGTGGCGGTCAGATGTCAAGAGGCTGCAACTTGGGCCCAGGAGGTAAAGGGCTTTTTTCTTTATCTGGGGATCTAGAAAGTTCAGGCTTTCTAGAGGTAGGAGGAAAAGTTAGGCAAGAACGCAGAGTCACTTTCCACGACCTCTGGGCTCATGGCCACCACTGCTGCAGTTGTAGTGACCGCCAACTCATGGAGGACTGACCCTGGCCAACCATCTTCGTGCAAGGCCTGGGCGAGAATGCTACGACTGAGTCTGTAGCCAATTACTTCAAGCAGACTGGGATCATTAAGGCACACAAGAAGATGGGACAGCCCACGATTAATCTGTACAGACAGGGAAACAGGCAAGCTGAAGGGAGAGGCAACAGTATCACTTTCTTTTTTTAACATCTTCGTTGGAGTAGAATTGCTTTACAATGGTGTGTTAGTTGCTGCCGTATAACAGAGTGAATCAGCTATACGTATACACACATCCCCATATCCCCTACCTCTTGAGTCTCCCTCCCACCCTCCCTATCCCATCCCTCTAGGTGGTCACAAAGCACCGAGCTGATCTCCCTGTGCTATGCGGCTGCAAGAAAAATGAATACCATATGCCAACACACACATATATGGAATCTAAAAAAAAAAAAAAAAAAGGTTCTGATGAACCCAGGGGCAGGAGAGGAATAGAGATGCAGATGTAGAGAATGGACTTGAGGACACAGGGAGGGGGAAGGGTAAGCTGGGATGAAGTGAGAGAGTGGCGTGGACGTATACACACTACCAAATGTTAAGTAGGTAGCTCGTGGGAAGCAGCCACATAGCACAGTATCATCTGATGACCCACCTACCGCTAAAGCAGCTACAGACTGGTTTGATGGTGAAGAATTCTCTGGGGATCCTATCCAGGTCTCATCTGCTGCCCGGCAAGCAGACCTCAATCGCGGTGGTGACAATGGTCGTGCAGGCCGAGGGCGAGGAGGACCCACAGGCCGTGGAGGCTACGGAGGTGGTGACAGTGGCCGAGGATTCCCCATTTGCGGCAGTGGCGGACAGCGGCGAGCAGGGGACTGGAAGGGTCCTGATCCTACGTGTGAGAATGTGAACTTCTCTTGGAGGAATGACTGCCACCAGTGCAAGGCCTCTAAACCAGACGGCCCAGGAGGGCCACCAGGAGGCTCTCACATGGGGGGTAACTATGGAGATGCTCGTCGTGGTCGCAGAGGAGGCTATGATCCGGGCGGCTACCGCGGCCGAGGCGGGGGACCGTGAGGGCTTCCGAGGGGGCCGGGTGGTGGGGACAGAGGTGGCTTTGGTCCTGGCAAGATGGACTCCAGGGGTGAGCACAGACAGCATTGCAGGGAGAGGCCGTATTAGCCTGGCTCCTGAGGTTCTGAAGCAGCTTTCCTCCTGTCCCCAGTGTTACCCTCATTATTTTGTAACCTTCCAACTCCTGATCACCTAAGGGTTTTTTGAGTCAGACTACATAATGTAACCATATCTCTGGTCCTATTAAAAAACATTTTAGTTAAAAAAAAAAAAAAAAAGCAGAGTCGCTTCAAATGAGGGCATGGCCACAGAAAAGCACGTCAGAAAGTGTTCACTTCCCAAGCCTTGTACTTCCCTTCCCGAACTCCTGGCATATTTCTTCACACGGATGGAAGGCTCCCATGGCGGTGCCCACCTGTACCCTGTATGGGAACCACAGCCAGAGGCAGCGCCAGGGCCAAGAATCCTCTTAGGGTACTTTCTTTGCAAGGTAGTCATTCTACACCTCATTCTTTCCACTTGGGGGCGCCAGAGACATACCGGGACCCGTGCTGACCCACCTCCAGTTTGCAGCCTAACTAGCCTCGTCACTTTTCAAAATCACTGTCTGTGCTGCCATGGGCTGGAAGACCAGCTTTCAGCAGCTCAGAGACTGAGGGATGATGTTACAGGCGTCTAGGCTTTCCAGCGACCCTGGCCTCCTGTTCACAGCAGGACACTTGACTCAGATTTCCAGGAAAAACTAAAAACTTACAACTGAGACGCTTGTCTGGATTAGGGTGTGGGTAACCTCATCCTTGAGTAAAGGGAGTACAAGAAAATTCTCTGAAGAAGCTTTAGCCTCAAAGGAAGGACCAGACAGAGCCGAGTTGAATGGATGAACTTCTCGAAGCCCAAGGGGAGCAAAGGACCCGGAAGGGCAGCCCGCCACCAGCTATATACGCACGGTGCCCCCGCCTGTAAAAGTGTCTCCAGATGGAGGCTGGGGTCAGGGGTGGACGGAGGGGACACAGGTGCGTAAGCAACTCAAGAGCAGACTTCCTGAGCTAACTACCTTGGACGTGGGAGAAGCTGGAATTCATCGCAAGCAGTTAATGAAATGCTGGGCAAGGAGGGGGGATGGGCGGGTTGCTTGGTGAGGGGATGATGCCTAGGAAGAGTGCACAGGAGGTTGGTCTCCCTTCGGTTTGACAGCTGGAAAAAAGGAGAAAGCCACGGGACTCCAGTGATGAAATCTGCATTTACAGCAAGATGGTGCTGAACTCACTTCCTGCTTTTCTGCGTCCCAAGGGATGAGGTGGGGAAAAAGTGCTGCAGGGCAATTCCACTTGGCAGGTCTTTCTCTGCCTCAGCACAGAGCAATTTTGTGCTGGTTAACTGACCTGCAGAGGCATCAGCTCATTTTCCCGTTGCATCTTGTCTGCAGACTGAGCTGCTTCTCCAGGCTGCCAGAACATGAATTGTTTTTCTGGGATAACAAAAAGGTGGTGCTCCTAATTAACTAGCTCATCAAAATACTGAAACCAATGTGACATACAGGCAGGCTGAGAAGAATGGGTTGGTTGAAGTTCCAGAAAACCCAAGTATAAGAAATGACAATGGTAGAAAACTTCCCTCCGGTCTTTGTCGCCATCCACCTATCTTTCTCCTGTCTGCTGTCGAGAAGGTTACTGATGTTGAAATTAGCCTACCATTTTAACCACTTTAAAGTGTATGGTTCAGGGGCATTAAGTACATTTGCAATGTTGGGCAACCATCACCTTTATCCAGTTCCAAACCATCCCAAAAAGAAACTCTGACCTCATTAAGCAGCCACTCTCTCTTCCTCCCTACCCTGTTCCCTGGTGTTGGGCTCTGACCCACAGCCCTGCAAACCTCTTCACTGCCCAACCACAAGGCTGAAGAAAGAGCCAGGAGACAACGAGAGACATCAGTGTCTTCTAGGACAGGGTAATCTCACTCATCTGAAGCAAACGGTCATAAAGGAATTCCCCACTGGCAGGACATAAAAGCAATCCTCGCTATTTGGGCGGTAAGGAGGCTACCATTTATAAAGCAAATCGACCTCATTTTGGCTCATCGGTTACCAGGGAAACCAGTGGGTGGGGCAGGGGGCAAGCCTGTAGGCAATTACTGATTAAGCCCTATGATTAATGGGATTGGATAGTCATGTGAGCAAAGCAGGGAATGGTCAAGCGGGGGATGTAAAGAGCAAGAGAACAGCCA